GGAAAACAGAAAATAGAGAAATATCAATAACACCAAAAGCTATTGTTTTTGCTTGTTTGTTGAGATGAATATAAGTGACAAACCTCTGCCAGACTTATCAGAAGAAAAAAAAAAAGAGAGAAGATGCAAGTTACCAATATCAGGAATAAGGGAAGTGAAACTATTAGAGATTGTAGGAATATTTAAGGTTAATAATGAATATTACGAACAACTTTATGCTAATAAATTTGACAACTTAAATGAACAAATCTTTGAAAAGTAAAAATGACAAAAGTTCCCTCAAGAAGAAATATAAAACCCTAATAGCCCTATATCTACTAAAAAATCTACTTTATAATTAAAACCTTCCCACAGAGAAAACCCTAGGCTTTTTTTTTTATCAAACATTTAAGAAAGAAACAATACAAACTCTGCACAAACTTTCAGAAAAAGACTTTCCAACTGATTTTTGAAATCAGCATTACATGATACTAAAACTAGACAAAGACAGTACAAGAAAAGAAATATACAGGCTGGTGTTCTCCATGAAAACAGATGCAAAAAATCTAAATAAAATTTTAGCAAATCAAATTCAACAGTATAGGATAGTACATCATGACCAAGTGAGGATTATTCCAGTTTATATCCAGAAGAAATAGAAGCAGGAATTCAAACATTTGCATACCATTGTGCATGACAGTATGATTTACAACAGCTGAAAAGTGGAAACAGACTAAATGGCCATGAATGGTGAATGGATAAACAAAATGTGTTATATCAGTAAGATGAACTATTATTTGGCCACAAAAAAGGATTGAAGTACTGATAAATGTACAACGTGGATGAACCTTGAAAACATGCTAAGTAAAAGAAACTAGATACAAAGGACCACACTTTTTGAACGCAATCATATGAAATGTCAAAAATAGAGGAATCCATCGAGACAGAAAGTAATTAGTGGTTGCCAGGGATAGGGGGTAGGGGAAAGGGGAGTTGGGGGTTTGGGTTTCTTTTGGGGGTGATGGACACATTCTATAAATAGAACATTTTTTCATGATGATTGTACAACATTGTGAATATACCGGAAACCACTGAATATTATATACTCTAAAATGGCTTAAATGATGAATTTTACCTCAACAAACATTAAAAGAAAAAAAAGCAGTGATACCAAAAACCAAAGACAGTACAAGAAGGGAAAACTATAGACCAGTATCTCTCATGAACTTAGATGTTAAAATCCTTTTAAGAATTCTAGCAAATCCAACAATAGTTAGAAAGAATTACATACCCATGACCAAGGGGATATATTCTAGATATGCAAAGCTGGTTTAACATTTGAAAATTAGTGTAATCCATCACATCAAAAGTCTAAAGAAGTAAAATGATATGATCATATCCATTGGTGCAGACAAAGCATTTGATAAACCCTGGCACTCATTCACGATAAAAACTCTGAGCAAACTACGAGTAGAGGCAAACTTCCTCACCCCGATAAAGAAGCGTCTACAAAGACCTACAGCTAGGGGCGCCTGGGTGGCGCAGTCGGTTAAGCGTCCGACTTCAGCCAGGTCACGATCTCGCGGTCCGTGAGTTCGAGCCCCGCGTCAGGCTCTGGGCTGATGGCTCAGAGCCTGGAGCCTGTTTCCGATTCTGTGTCTCCCTCTCTCTCTGCCCCTCCCCCATTCATGCTCTGTCTCTCTCTGTCCCAAAAAATAAATAAATGTTGGAAAAAAAAAAAACAAAACAAAGACCTACAGCTCACAGTGTACTTAATCATGAGAAACGAGATGCTTTCTCCCTATGATCAAGATCAAGGCAAGGATGTGGTCTCTCAGCATTCCTATTCAAAAAGTATAACTGGACTTCAAGCCCGGGTTTCTGAAGCTTAGTAATATGTATGTACCTTTGAAGGATTTCTTTTTGAATGAAAGAATTCTGTCACCTTAGAAGGAATATGTGCTCTGAGTTTTGGGGTTTGTTTTGTGTTTGGTGTTTTCAGTAGACCTAGGCAGCCTGAAAGAGAGAGAGAGAGAATCGACTATGGCAGAGAGCTGATGGTTTTAGCCTTAGTTTCATCACTCGTTGGTTGCACAGATTTGAGCAAGTGACTTGACCTTTTTGAGCCTCTGTCTCTTCCTCTCACATAATGGCAGCCCAGAGGTTTTAAAGCCCCTTGTCTTCCAGGCTGCTGTCATCTCCTTGGACTTAGAAAGGGATGAGAAAAAGGGACACTCACTGGGGGCCACTTTCTCCCTGAAATAGACTTGTGACACTTGGGCCATTAGAAAGTTCATTTTTATTCTATCATTGGTGGACCTTGATTAAGACATCTGATGACAAGATCTTCAGGAGTTTCTCCAAGAAGTCATATCTTTTAAGTTAGAGACAACATTTTGATCTCGAGGGTGGCTGATACTCTGACAGGCAGGTATTTAGTGTAGAGAAGTCATAGGGTTATTGCCTCTGTACCCCTGTCATGCCCTGTTAGATTCTCTATGTTTTAAATATTGGATTTAAAAATACCAGGCATTTGGTGGAATGGCTGTCCTGTGGGTACTCTTTGTGGTAGCCATTGGTTTGGTGGCCATTCTGAAAGGGCCATCCTGCCAAGGCCAGGTTATGTCTGTAAAATGGGGAAACCACCCACCTTTGTAGGATCATTTCAGAGACTAAATGAAAGAACATACAGTAAAGCCTTAGTTTGTGAGCATAGTTCGTTCCGGAAACATGCTTGTAATCCAAAACACTTGTATATTCAAAGTGAATTTTCCCATAGGAAGTAATAGAAACTCAGATGATTTGTCCCACACCCAAAAATAATCATATAAAATGATTACAGTACTATAACATAATACAAAATAATAAAGCAAATACAAAATATAAAGAAAAACAGACAAATTAACCCACACTTATCTTTGAAAACCTTTGTGGCTGGTGTGAGGGAGACGAGAGAGGAGGGTTATTGTGTAGGACGACTTTCACCATCACTAATGGAATCACTCCTGTCTATTGGCTCAATGGAATCTTCTTTTTGTGCAACTTTAACAAGGAACCTATCCAATGACACTTGATTTTGCCTCCTTTTGAGGATTTCACGGAAATGTGACATTGCATTGTCATTAAATAGATTCATCTCTCTTACTGCCTTATTTGGGTGGTGCTTTTCTACAAAATTTTGCACTGTTTTCCACATTTTACACATCTCCCTAATCTCATTTGAAGTGAGGGATTCCTCTACTTTTTTCTCCTTCTCTCCTGCAGATGAGATGCAGACATAAACTTCTTATAAAGTATTTCAGTCTCAACCACTCGCAGACCTTGTTCACACTTCTTGATGATTTCCTTCTTAACTTCTACCATAATCATCTTCTTACTGCTTTTGTTTTCAACCTTTTTCTGCATGGGGGCCATTGTATATGCTCACATGGATGTTGACTACAGTACAGTATTAATAAACTCTCGTCATATACTGTATTTAATGTAACTGGCAATAACGCAGCAGAGGGAACGGTCTATATCTGCAGGCAGCCTGACCTAGAATGAAGCAAAGCATTCCTAAGGTTACTCTTACATGGAAAAGCAAAGGACTATCCACAGGTGCTTTGAAGTGACAAAAAAAAAGTACCAGTTGTGGGCACCTTCCAGAATTCTAAAAAATCACTGATTTCTGCCAAACAATGGGGCCTGAGACTGAGCATCCATGCATGGGAGATGACCACCCACAATCTCTAAGCGAGAGAGACAGAGAGAGAGAGAGAGAGAGAGAGAAGAACCACTAAGAACCATTGGCTCAGTTGTGATCACGAGATGTTTAGCATCACATACTACTCGTATTGCAAGGCATCGCTTGTTTATCAAGTTAAAATTTACTAGAAACGTTTGCTTGTCTTGCAGAACACTTGCAGCACAAGTTACTCGCAATCCAAGGTTTTACTGTATTTAAGTGTTTGGCATTTGTTAGTAACTCAGAAATTTTCATGATCGAAATGGAAAACTGATGTTTTCTCCATCACGTCATCACTTTCGTGATGGGTCTGCACTTTCCCACCAGACTGCCGGCTCCTGGGCGCAGAGCCTAGGGCGGTCCGGGTTCCCGGATACCAATCTTTGGTTATTCCAGTCAGTTGTGTTCAGTGGCCATGGACCCCCTCTACCTCACCCTCTGGAATTGTATAAGAAGAAAGCAAATTTTTATTGATTCTATTCAATAATTGAGAAGCCGTGAGACCTTGGCCAAACTACTCGACTTCGTTGTGCCTCAGTTTACCCACATGTAAAATAGGGAGATGGAGTAGATGACATGAACAGTTGCTTCTAACTGTGATGCAGTCATTCTGTGGCGGTGTTGCCTCTGTATAATGAGCAATCCTGGGAGATTTGCCCTCCTTATCACATGTATGTGTACTTTGACATCAGGGATATTTCATTCTCTTTTACATGGCACTTGGGAATAATTCTGTCCTCCTTTCCAGCATTTGATTTCTTATAGAAAATTCATCTAGAACTTTGTTGTGGGTTTAAGAAGCCATACTTCATCAAAAGGAGAACAGTAATGTTCTTTACTTTTTTTAAGCTTACATAAACTCACCCTGGTGACTTTATCATAAGAACATCATTGCTAACACGTTCTATTGTTTTGTGGTCACATTGTGCCACTTTCTGGCATTCTCCAGCTAAGCAGCCCTAACTTAATGTCTGAGACAGATGGCCCAGACCCTTTGGTAATGGGGGTCTGGGTGGTAGGAAACTTTTGGTTGGTGTAGGTAGGAAAGAAAGAGAGCAATGGGAGGAAATGGATAGTTTGTACAAGACCGTCTAACAACTCAAGCATGCCCCTCCACAGTGGTGGGCCTGCGCTCCTGGTGAGAACCACCGTTCTGGTGTGTGTGCATTGGCTGTCATACTGTCTAGCCTACTCTGGGATGGGGAGAAGACAATGATGGATCTCTGTGCACCATGCTTCCTCAGTCTCCTTTATGATGCTTCATGGGTTATTTTCGTATCTCTTGGTTTTTCAGCGCATCAGAGCAGAGTGACGATGATCCTGTTCGTCCTGGAGCTGGAGTGGGTGCTGAGCACTGGGCAGGACAAGCAATTTGCCTGGCACTGCTCCGAGAGTGGGCAGCGCCTAGGAGGGTATCGAACCAGTGCCGTGGCCTCGGGCCTGCAGTATCCTTTGCTGGACAAAAATCCCTTGGTGGGACCTTAGCTGTTGACTCCTTTCTTTCATGAAAAGCTTGGGTATGTGCAACTTGAAAGTTTTGCATTTGCTGCGTTGCCCTGAGGATTAAGATTCTCACTGACTTAACCAATATGCAAATCATCAAGGGTCCTCACGGAGGTGGATTAAAATGAGGTGATCTCCCCGCAAATAACAGGTCCTGCGGAGCAGGGTTGTGGAGTGACTATGACGCAGGTCTGACATCCAGACAGGACACGGCCCGGATTTAGGAGCCTCAGCTGTCAGAAAGGATTCTGGAACATGGAGATAAAACCATCACTGAAATACAGCCTTTTCCTTCTCTGCATACAGAAGTAATTTACACATAGATATTAAGGTTGTAAAGAACCACAGGATTCCTATTTATCGTTTTTAGATGTTCATGGGGGAGCTACCATGCCAGGACCAGAGTGGGTTAGCTGGTATCTACACGGTAATGGTACAGACTTTATTCCAGGTACAAGACCCTTCCAGGGTATGTAGAGTGATACTAATTCTTATCTCCTGAGTCTCCAGGGCCCATGTGCTCAGTGTGAGTACCTGTAAATGCCGGGAAATCCCCATGTCTGGCTCACTGGGCTCCAGCAAGCACGGGCTTGATGAGTCTGAAGCCTGTGTGGGTGATGCTACCATGGAAGGAGTAAAGGGCCCCCGGCTTCTTAGTTTAAAAAGCAAAGCATCACTCTCCACCCTGTGACGAGTGAGGAGATAGATGGAAACAGATCACTTGTCAGCAAAAGCAGGAAGAAATAGTAAGACTTGCTCTCAGATGTTCATGTCGTATTTATAAAATGCCTGGTCCGTGATTCTCAACATCTCACAGAGTAGTTTGCTGTCTCCTCGCAGACGTGCCTCAGTAGCCATATTTGCGTGTGCGCATGCGTGTGTGTGTGTGTGTGTGTGTGTGTGTGTGTGTGTGTGTCGGCTAATGTCACTCCTGTTTTTCTCTCTGATTTTCCTCACTGGAAGAGCAAGATGAAGAAACTAAGAATGGCCATGGAGGAAAGTTGTAAATGTGACAGGTCACCAAGCAGGCCACAAACAAGGGTGATAAGGAACAGAAGGCAGGATCAACTCATCTTCGAGAGGGTGGTCCCACCTGTTAAGGAAAGAAAGTCTGAAGTTTGCTTTCTAAAGGCCAGTTGAGACGAGCATAATGCTTGAATTGAAATACGTGCACTCTTATGTCAGTAGATCTCTTACAGTGTTCGAATTGGAAAGGTCCTTAGAGGTCATCCTGGCCAACTCCTGGTTTTACAGGTGAAGCCCAGAAAGGGTCACATGCCTTATCTGCAGACACCTGGCTAGTATGTCAGAAAATCACCAGAATGTGAGGCTTCTGCCTTAGGCTGCTGTTTTGTTTTGTTTCTTCCCATCATACATTTGAGAACAGAATGAATAGCATCAGTGTAATTTGTTCTTAATATGCTGACTTCGGGACACCTGGGTGGCTCAGTCGGTTAAGCGTCCGACTTCAGCTCAGGTCATGATCTCATGGTTCATGGGTTCGAGCCCCACATTGGGCTCTGTGCTGACAGCTCAGAGCCTGGAGCCTGCTTTGGATTCTGTGTCTCCCTCTCTTTCTGCCTCTCCCCCACTTGTTCTCTCTCTCTCTCTCTCTCTCTCTCTGACTCGCAAAAATAAAATAAACATTAAAAAGAAATCTCTTTAAAAAAAAAAAATGCTGGCTTCTATCTCACTAGCCCAGCCTAGAGATACATCTTCTATATCACTTAACCAAGCCAAAAAATATAGAAAAAGTACAGATCTTGCCCTTAGGAAGTTGATTTTTTAAACTATTTGGAATTGAAAAACAAGACACAAATGCCCAGAATTAAAAGTCTCCTGACTGTGGCAGTCTTGGACTCTTCTCTTCAGGCATCTCCAGAAGCCATCCTCATTTTTCAGCTGTTTCCTTTAGCCACACCATGTGGCTTACTAAGCAAAAAACAAAACAAAACAAAACAAAACGAAAACACATATGATTTGATATCAGAAGACTTTGTATGTGTGTAAAAGCCTCTGGGTTCATTTCCTGAGGTAAATGACCACATTGTTCAATCTTGCAGGTAGAGGGGAAATGCAGTACTACAGACAGACAGGTTCTTCCAGAAGATTCCCTCACCTCCACAGCTCTGCCTCGCTAGCTCCAATTTTGGAGCCACGTTGCCCGCCCTTGTTCCTGGGAACACATACATCCCTGAGATTTTTCCAGCTGCTCACTGGTGGCATAACAGCACTGCTTTTGCCAAAGGGTCTCCTATAGGAAACTTGTGACTTTCCCAAGGCCGGAGGGTTTTTTCTAGGAGCTGCCTTGTGTACAGATTGTTAACAGTGTTAACATGCTCCTACAGTGTTGGAGTTCACATTAAAATCCAGTTTTTAAACACATTTTTTTCATGGGAACCCTCCACCCCACCTCTTCCCTCTTCTTTCTTCCACCTTCCATACTTACAGTTTCTGAAGGGAAGGAAGGAGATCTGCTGAAACACCATAGAATGTTCGGAATAGTATGAGTACCCTGATTTCTCTGCCTAGTGGACCCCGGTGGCATATATAAGAAACTTCCCCAAAGTAACCTGTCTCCTAATTTTCACCTCAAAAAGTCACTTATCCAAGTCAGCAAGTGATAGAAGTCTGGTTGAATTCAGCCTTTTCTCTCTTCTTTCAGGCCTCATAGGGGAGATGTAATCGTGCAGTGAAAATAACCAAAATTCAAATTGAGAAATAAAGGAAGATAAAGAGACTGATGGCTCAAAAATTGAATGATCAGTTTCTGAATAACCTCAAATCTTTGGTTTCTTTGGCTAGAGATCTGAAGCTTCACATATTAAGTGAGGTATAATACTAACAAGAACCAAAAGGAAGAGAGGAGAGGGAAAAGAAGAAAATATCTTACAGTTGCAGTCCCCGAGAGTTTTATAGTGCTTCTATATGACGTTACTTTGCTCACTCTCAAAACAATAATTAGAAGTAAAAACAAAAAGACTGAATTCTCAGTTTTCACAGTGTAGAAACCAAGGCTCAGAAAGGTTAAGGACTTTCTCTAGGGGTGCCTGGGTGGCTCAGTTGGTTAAGCGTCTGACTTCAACTTCGGCTCGGGTCACGATCTCATGGTTTGTGAGTTCGAGCCCCACGTCAGTCTCTGCACTGACGGTGTATGGAGATTGTTTCAGATCCTCACTCTCTCTAGCTCTCTGCCCCTCCCCCAGCTTGTGTTCTTTCTTTCTCTCAAAAATAAATAAACATTTTTTTTTTTTTTTATAAATTTTTTTTTCCACGTTTTTATTTATTTTTGGGACAGAGAGAGACAGAGCATGAACGGGGGAGGGGCAGAGAGAGAGGGAGACACAGAATCGGAAACAGGCTCCAGGCTCCGAGCCATCAGCCCAGAGCCTGACGCGGGGCTCGAACTCACGGACAGCGAGATCGTGACCTAGCTGAAGTCGGACGCTTAACCGACTGCGCCACCCAAGCGCCCCAATAAACATTTTTTTAAAAATTAAAAAAAAAAAAAAAAAAAAAAGGAAGAAAGGCTAAGGGACATTCTCCAGGTCACGTAACTGTTACCTGGAAGAACCAGGAGTAGAACTTGGGTGTTGGAACTCGGCTAGCCGTCTGCACTACTAAATAACGGTGGAATGGAGGTATTTCCCAAAGGTCACATGGCAGGTTGATGTTAGGAAATAGAACCGTTTTCCTTCCACCCTTCCCTTGCTGGTGTTTAAATTTGTGAATACTTTATCTGGCCTTGCCTTTCAGTCTTGTCATTTGACCATGTTTGATCACATTTATCACACTTCCACAGAAATAATTCAGGTACTTTTCATTTTAAGATTCTATGCATGTTGGAGATATTTCCAAGATGTCTCCCTGTACAGTACAAGGTCTTTTCACCAAGTAGTCTCTTAGATTTGTTCAGGGCAAGAGTGCTGGAAAGCTGTTAAGATTATCTTGATTTTTGTATATCCTCATATCATACGTAATGCCAATCACTCTGGCTTTCAGGTTGTACTATAATTTATTTCGACCCTCTTTCAAATGGCTTTTGTTGAATTTCTTTACAAAGCATCCTATTATTTACCTGCCATCATAAAGATTGTTTTTTCATCTGTGTTCTTATAATTAACGTAAATGTAAGGTGATCTTATTCCGTATATATCTTAGTATTGTTTTACATGTATCTGACCGCTTGTTTGGAGAGCATAACATTTCTCTGTTGTTCTTGAGCCTGAGGGAATTTGTGATGCCTTGTTCTTCACTTTTAAAACAAGTGTTTTATTATGAAAATTTTCAAAACGTGTACCAACTGGGAGGAGAGAATATCATGGAAACTCACGTATTCATGAGACCCGGTGTTGATTCTTCTATCATTTTGGCTTTCTCTCCCTTTTTGCTGGAGTGTTTTGAAACAAATTGCAGACCGTATGTCATTTCATCCTTAGGTACTTCATTGTACCCCGCTTTAAAAATGTGGAATTTTTCCGTAATCACAATGCTGTTACTACTCCTAAAAATTTATAACTACTACTTGACATTGTAGAATAATCCATTTTCACATTTCACTTACTGTTTCATAAATGGCTTTTTGCAGCGGATTAGTTTAAAATCGGGTCCAGACAAAGTTCACATGTTGGCTGTGGTTTTCATATCCTAAATCTCTCAATCTAGGGCAGTGATCTCCTCCCTTCACTTTTTTTTTTTTTTTTTTTTTTTTTTTTTTTTGATGCCACTGTGACTTGTTGGAGTACGGAGCCTGTGTTCCTGTAGACAGCCCCGCATTCTAAAGTGGCCTCTGGTGTCTCGTGATGTCATTTCCCTTGTTCTCCTACCTGTGCGTCTCCCATATTTTTCTGTAAACTGAGACCTGCCTCTAAAATCTTGACTCAGTTCAGATTCAGCTCCTGCTAAGAACGCTTGGTCCTTGTGCTGTCTGGTTCGTGTTGCTTCACAGCAGGAAGCCCATAGCACAGGGTTGTCACCCTTCCAGTGATGCTGAGTTGATCAGTGATTCAGGTGGTGAGCGCCAGGTCCCTGCGGCGCGCACCAGCCTTTCATTCAGTGGTTTTAGTTGCTGATCTTCGCCTGGACCAGACCTTTCATTAGGGCTGCAAAGTGGCGATTTTTGTAATCCTATAATTTTTTCCACGTGTATTTGTTGGAATTCTTCTATAAAGTACAACTTTTCAGGGCATCTGAGTGGCTCAGTCGGTTAAGTGTCTGACTTTTTTAAAAAAATTAATTTATTTATTTTGAGAGAGAGTGAGAGCAGGGGAGGGGCATAGATAGAGGAAAAGAGAGAATCTCAAGCAGGCTCTGCACCGTTAGTGCAGAGCCCGATGCAGGGCTCGAACTCACGAACCGAACCGTGAGATCGTGACCTCAGCCGAAATCGATAGTTGGATGCTTAACCAACTGAGCCACCCAGGCGCCCCAAGCGCCTGACTCGTGATTTTGGCTCAGGTCGTGGTATCCCGGTTCATGAGATCGAGCCCCGCATCTGCTTGGTATTCTCTCTCTCCTCTCTGTCTGCCCCTCCCTCCCACGTATGCTTGAGTTCTCCCCCCAAATAAGTGTATATACATTAAAAAAGATAAGTAAAGTAGAACTTTGCCTCATTAGCTAGGGCTAGTTGCTTACCCTGAGATACAATTAATATGGAAAAAGCAACAAATGCGGAATTGTTTCTCTTTAATTGCTCATTTTCAGAGGAGAGAGTCAGTGCCCAGGTTACCTCCAATAGGTGTCTTTTTTTTTCTTTTTGAGCATTATTATAAACTCTTAAGGTTTCTAAAAATAATATATTCAGTCAATTTCAATAACTTGCCTTCTTCGATGCTAATGTTAATCTGTCTTTGGCCAGTAAGAGCCCCATCATATTGGCTCCAGCGTCTTTTGATACAGCTCCACTTGCCTTTGGTGGCTTCCTTTTTTGGCACAGCATGTCTTAAGCTCTTCTTGTACCTTCTTGTCCCAATCCTGAATCAGCCATTTCTTTTAGTGAGGAATAGGACTCAGAGATAACTAGGAAATATAGGTGTGTGTGTTCTTGAAAAGAAAGTGAATCATCAGTTCATATAACGGTTCTAATCCAAATGTAGCATTATAAGGTTTTTACCTCACTTTTGTACTTGATTCTTTTATCTTGGACTGAACATTTTCGTTCCTAAAACATGAACTTGTTTTTGCTTTATCCAATGGTATATTTTTAAGCTGTTTCAAAATACTAATTATAGAAGTATTATAGTTACAAGACAACTGAGTGAGATTTTAGACTTCTTTGCAGTTCTCTTTGTCTTTGGAGTACATTTCCCCCAAGGATGTACAGTTGAAACGCTGTGTTCTAAAGTCACTTGAAATAATTCCGTTAACTGTGGTTATGTCACCAACTTGATAGTTAGGTTCCTTCATTTATGCTTTGTCATCAATATGGGGGATTTTTTCTTTTAATCTTATGCATATTTTTAATATGTGAAATAATGACTTGATTCCAGAATGCAAACTATGATGAGAGAAGACTCACCACCAGCCCTGTCTCCTCACCTTGTTCCTCCCTCCTCCATAGGCAGCCATGTGTGTCAGATCTTGATTTGTCCTTCCAGAGCTTCCTTTTGTGAAATGAGCACACGCACACACACACACACACACACACACACACACACACACATACACACACACACATGACACACTCATATAGTTCTATTTCTCTCCCTTTCTTACACAAAGATTGTGTAGCTTATAAACTCTTACATACCGTGGCTTTTCTTCCCCCACTTAATAATGTATCCCAGAAATTCCTCCATGTCTGTTTGCTTATGGTATGGAGATCTTTTTTTCCCCTAGCTGGATAGGACTCTATCGCTTGCTTATATCATAGTTAGTTCAGTAAATCCCCTTTTGATGGAATTTTTTGTTGTTTTCAAACTTTAGCTGTTAAAATAACATGGAGTGAATAACCTCAGGCATGCATTTTGTACTTTGGCCCGAGTGTATCTCTGGGATAGATCTCTAGAAGGAGGGTTGAGTGGTTTTATCAACCCAGGAAGCTCACTAGACACTCAGCACCTTAGGTTTTTACTAGAGACTGGTCACGTAGGCAGCCTCTTTCTGACATGTACCAAAATTACAGACTGAAAAGGAAAGCAGGTATTTGGCAAAAACCGTATCATCACGGTTCAGGCACAGTGAACCACTCTTGTCTGTTAATGGTGGGACCCCCCTGAAAACCAGTTGCCAGATACCTTGCCAGCCTTGTGAGCAGCCTTTCAGAGGCTGACAGTCAGGCCTCTCTTGCACAGCCCCGTTTTCATGTCTTTTGGAACTATGTGTTCATATATTTTGCCCGCTTTCCTATTAGGTTTGTGGTTTGTTCTTTTTATGTTAGAGATTTGGGCCTTTTGTGACATAAGTTGCAAATATCTTTTCCAGCTTGTCTTTTGGCCTTGCTGATGGTGTTTGTTTTGTTGTTTGTGTTTTTGAGTAGTAGCTTTTCCCACTCCAAGGTTAGAAAGGAGCTCTCTCATCTCGAACTTACATTTTTCATTGTTTACGTTTAGATCCTTCATCCATTTGTAGTTTATCCTGATATGGAATGTGAACTACGGATCCTGTTTTGTTTTCCAAATGACTATCCAGTTGATGTCAACGCTTTTGTTTTTTTTAACCCATCTTTTCCTTATTCCTTGAAGAGCCACCCTTATCAGACATGTACTACATTTCTGTATACTTTGGGGTCTATTTGTAGACTTGCCATTTTGTTCCATGGGTCTGTTTGTCTATTTATGCACCAATACCACACTTGCACTTAAAAAGACTGTGTAACGTGTTCTAATAACGTGGTAGGGCTAATCTCCCCTATCAAATACCGTATTGCTTTTATTTTTAGAATATTCCTGGCATTTCTTGTGTATTTATTTTTTATATGAACTTAAACTTCCCTAGTTCTAGGGAAAAAAGCTTATGTTGATATTTCTATAGAGATTATATTAAGTTTGCAAATTCATATTGTGAGAAATGACATGTTTATCGTGTTAAGTCTTACTGTCCAATAATATTGTGTCTTTCACTCTGTTATGCCTGCTTTTGTATCTTTCAGCGTTACGTCCAAGCTTTGTTCATATGGGATTTGCACGTTTCTTGATTTGTTTGGTTATTTGTTTATTTTTGTAAATCCCTCCATTCAATTTTGAGAAATGATCCTTAATGCTTACATGATAGATTTGACGTTGAAACCCGGCATGTGTTTATTGGTGACCAGTCAGGACAAGTAACCATCCTCAAACTGGAGCAAGACAACTGCACCCTGGTCACAACGTTCAGAGGACATACAGGTGGGATTGAAAGCAAAATCTCCATGTGCCTGCTCTCACAGTGACCTATCTATCACCTGCTGCGTGTTCTGGCCTTCAGATGCTGTGTTGTCAAAGTGACAAAGTATAGCATGCACACAGATACAAGGGATACGTTGAACTGATTCCACAATGGTTCAGTAAGAAGTTATGTCCAAAATTTTCTACACCAGTGCAAACAAAGGAGGAACAAGTCTATTTCCAGAGTGTTGGTGAGTTGGTTCTATGTCACATTGCCCTGGAGAAAGCCAGTGTTGGCATATGCTGATGAGACATTGTTTTGAGACCATGTGACAACTGCATAAACCTCAGGAAGGCCAAAAAGACAGCTGCCTCAGTCTGTCCTTGCCCTTCTTGGAGCGAGAAGATGGCGTGCAAGACAGACATGCCCGCTTCTAAGTCCAGTAAAATAAAAAATATGGTCATTTGGGCTAGCTAGGCTGCATAAAAAGGCACGGGTTTGGTTTTAACTTCCTTCTGGGCTCTTCTCAGTGTAAAACCCAAGACTCCCTTTATTATTTCGGATTTCTTTGTTGGGGAAGGGCTCAGGATCTGTTCAGGATCATTTAAGTCAGGTAATACAAAATATCCATGCTTAGCCTTTGAAAGACTTGAATAGATGATGACGATTAGTTTTTACTGGTATTTTTAATCTGCGATGTTGACCCTGGGAAATGAGTCACTGCCTGTTTTCGTGGCTCTTAATGGGCTTTTATGTCTCCCACAGATTACCAACCCATGATTTAGTACAGAACAGGGTTCTTATTGAGTTCAGATGGCATATAAGAACAGAAGTAGGTGAATGAAGATGTAAAATGGGATAGTACCTAGATCATAAGGAATTTCCTCAAGGGGAAAAAAAAGAATGCAGTAAAGAGGAAATTGAATCCAGGGGAAAAGAGTCATAAAAGATAATTATCTATGTTTTCTGGGAAGAAGAACACATAGAAGCATCTGCTGTGGATAGGACCCAGGTCTTTCCTGATTGTATTTCTCTTTTTAGCCACCTCCACCCTGGCTAAGCCTGGCCTGGTAGGGACCCAGAACTGTCCCACATCAGGAACCTTAAACTGCTATGTGTCACTGCTGACTTCAGTCTCCTAATCTTTCGCTTCTCTGAACCCTTCCTCCAGCTCCCCTTACTCTTGCCCTCGTGGGCAGTCGGTCCCTGCTGGCCAGTCGCTCTTGTCCTTGTTGGCCAGTGTCTGCGCCCCATCTTCTCTCCCTTTCCAGAGGGGTGTCAGCCACTAGGCGCCCAGCGTTCTCTGGTCAGGCGCCCTCGTTCTTCCCTGAAGAACACGTCTGCCATTCACACCCTCTCCAGCCCTCCTGTGCACTCAGCCCCTGGGGCTGCTGCAAGGTCACGCTCTGAGCCCGGGGCCTTCTTCCCCACTGCACATTCAGCATTCCAGTCCAGCTGCCAGAGTCGCCTCAGTCCCTGCACATGGTCCCTTGCAGGTCCTCAGGACTCCCCTTCACTCCTCCAGACCTTCACCACTCCCCACCCCACCCAAGTCCCCTCTCCCTCCCCAGACTCCGCCTTCAAAGAAAAATAGAGGTTAGCCAATAGAGGCTTTAAAACTGTTTTCTTGCGCACCCTGTGTTCCTCTCCAACAAACTTCTTCTGCCTCCTCCTTATCTCTTGCTCTCGGGGTCTCCACATCAAAAACTGTTCCCCCGTGGCTCCCTTTTGACCAGCTCACCCTTCTCAATTTATTAACATGCTCAAGTGTCTTGCCTTTCTGATGGACAAACAAGACCCTCTCGACCCCGTATCCTGTTGTAGCAACGCCCGTCCTACTCTCTTAACAGCAGTGCTTCTTTTTCCTTTTTCTAAATTACGGTGAACTGTACCTCATCTAAAATTCACCATTTTAATCACTCTTAAGAATACAGCGCAGTGACGTTGAGGACATTCATATCACCACCATCCGTCCACACAACATGCCCTGTCTCGTAAAACTGAAACTCTGACCCCACTGACCGCGCACCCGTCATTGCCCCTCCCCCAGCCCCTGGCAGCCACCATCCCGCTCTCTGTCTCTGAGTGTGCCTGCTTTGGGTCCCTCGCAGAGGGGACTCGTACACCAGGCGTTGTTTGGTGACCGGCTTCTTTCACTCGGCGTGATGTCTTTCTGTTGTAGCAGACGGCGGCGTGTCTTAAAAGAACATCGTCTTCCAGCCGCTTCCAGTTCTTCACCTCTCATTTCCCTTCCATCCACCTGCAGTTTGGCTCCATCTCTCGCTCCTCTGACGCTCCTGTCCCCAAGGTGGCTGGTGACCTGCTGGCTGCTGGATCCAGGGGACGTGTTTTGGACCATGTCACCATGAACCTGTCGGCAGCGCTTTACATTGTGGCCTTTCTTCTTGCCTGTGGCCGCCCTCCTTGGGCTCCTGTGATGCGTTTGCACCCGGTTTTCCTCTGCTTCTCTGGCTCGTCTTTCTCCTCTCCTTAGTGATCTTTTTTGTGAGTTCTGCCCCGGACCCTGTACACTGCGCGCTCTCCCTGGTCGATCTCAGCCACTACCCCCGTCATAGACATAAAAGGTACAGTCCTTTCCTCACATTTTTTACACAGTGAGGGACGTGGGCGCTAAACAGTGGTCACAGCGCTTGGTGGCGGGGGCAGGGGGAGGCGGGCACTGGGCACTTCAAAGAACCCAGAGTGGCCACGTCACTCGGACAGGAGTGGGAGTCTGTCAGGAAGGTCTTCCCGGGGGAGGTGTTGCCTGACCTAAGATCTTTGGGAAGGAGTAAGCGTTGAGTTCATGAAAAAGAAGTGAGAAGGACACTCTAGGCAGAGAAAACCAGCGAAGTCCAAGGCATGGAGATTTGCGAGAGCGTGCTGTCTTGGGAACTCTGGTAACTGCCGTTGGTGGGCACACCGACTAGCAGGCGGCAGGCAGCCAGAAAGGAAGCGAGCATCCGTTCGGATCACCGAGGCACTAGCCCGACGGCAGTGAGAAACCATAAGAGAGTTTTAAGCAAGGACGTTAGCCTGGTCAGAAGTTAAAAGATTGTTCTGGCAGCAGAATGGTAGGAAACTGTCCCTCAGAATGTGGCAGGAGTGATGGGAAAGCCAAGAGTGGGTGGGCCGAAGGTGAAGTTCAGGTGGTGAGCTCAGCGGGCCTGGTGACCACACTGGGTAGTTCCCAGACCTGGTTCAGGCCGAGGTGGCTTGCAGCCTGGCTCTTTGGTACTCAGCCCTTCACTGTACGGCTGATAACTGTGCTCTGAGTTCTCCGTGGCTGCCTCCAGGCCAGAAAAGGGGTAAGTAGCTGCTGCTTACTGGTGTGTGGGGAGCCGGATGTAGCCCGTGGGTTTCCTGTCTTCCGGGTTAGTTCTAGTACAGAATGTTACCTTGGCATTATGCCTTATCTTTCTCAAAGAGTTTAGAGCATTCTCATATGACTTTACCATGAAATATCTTTGAGGACTGGATGTGGCCCAGGAAAGTTACTAACTAACATGAAGGCAAATGTTGCAGGTCACATATTCAACGTATTGTTATTATCCCTAGACAGTCGTCAGTCCACTCCGGCTACAGCACATCTCATTCATTTGTAGCCAGAGCAGGGATGTCTAAGAGATTTCATGATGATGCAAGCGTATTGTCCAGCTCTTCCTATGCAGTAAGCCCGTTCTGGGCCCTGGGAAGTCCCAAACTCAGCCAGACACAACTCTGGAAAAAGGGGTTTATATGGATTAGTTAATCTCCTCATTCCCTCACCCCCAAAACAAAGACTTTAGGATTAACCCAGATACATTGAAGAATGATCTCAGGGGTCTTATCAGTCCAGATCCAAACTCAGAAGCAGACCGTCTTTGGTCTGTAATACAGAGTTATAGCCATTCACCCATCACTCTGTATTATAGTACAGAAAGTCATATAAAAATGTGGGGTAGTGATGGAATTGGCCTAATAGTCATACCCGGAGGCCAGCACAGCATTTACTAATCCGCGGGGACCTAGGAAACTAGTTTTATGTTCCTTTGCTCCCTCTGCTGGTTTTATTTCTGGAAGTAAATGCCAAGTAACATAGATCTTTGCTATTTATGCAGAAATTAGAATGTATTTCTACCAAAAAGTCATACACTGACTTGAACACAGAGGGGAAAAATGAGATTTTAACCACTGGAAATTCATAGTATCAATAAATTCGTTTTTTTTTCATTTCCTTCTAAGAATTATTTTGGTTAGTATGAACATACTGGAAATAGGAGGGGCCAAACATAAATTGCCAAAGCATACTACTTAACAAAAAATTAAATACATTGAATAAATTAAATAAATTTGTTAACTGTTAGGGGAATTATTGAAAGTAACAGTATAACTATAACCAAAATAATGAAAACATGGAGAGGCATGGTTCAGTGCCAACATGCAGGTTCAGATCATTAAGTTGAAAACTTGATTTTTGTTTACAGTGAAGACTTCCACATCCAGCAGACACGGATTTTCATCGAGTCAGCCAAATTATTAGCTCTCTGCATGATGAGGGCTGGGGTATAGGGGTGAATCAGACAAATAATGCTTGCTTATTCAACTTCTAGTCATGGAATCCAGGCGTTAAAGCGATGAATTCAGGTAGTCCATCGGGATGTTATGAGTGCCGCAAGTACTGTGAGCCCCCAGTGCCACTCATAGCACTTGCATTGGGAGTAAATAACAAGAGGGACTCCCTATCCAGAGAGCTAAGGGGAGACTGCCGAGGAAGTCGTGTTTAAAGGATCCGTAAGGAGGGTGCCTGGGTAGCTCAGTCGTTAGGCATGACTCTGGATCAGGTCATGATCTCATGGTTCATGAGTTTGAGCCCCGCTTTGGGTGAGCTCGAACTCCACTTTGGGTGAGCTCGAATCCCGCTTCAGGTGAGCTTGAGCCCCTCATCGGGTGAGCATGAGCCCCATAGTGGGGGAACAGGAGCCCTACCTTGGTTGAGCACGAGCCCTGCTTTGGGTGAAACACAAGCCCCGGGTGAGCC